CCATTCCGTGCATCTGTCATGCGAGCCACTACTCTCACAAATGCATCTGAAACTCGCCAGCCATCTGATAGACACGTGTTCCTTAGAAGAAAGGAAAACAGCGCAATACAGGTTGGTTTGAGAAGGGGTTGTTTCTCCACTGTCCCTTAAACTCCTCCCTTCTTTCAGTTTATGGTTTCTCACTCGCGACCACCGCTGCGGTTGCACGCCCTCGCAAAACCATTCTTTCTTTGGGGGACAACCAAACGTAATTCCACAACCCCTCATCTGCAACTCCAAGTTCTCAAATCTCTCAAAATCAAGAGGTGGATTTTTGTTTTGTTGTTTGGTTTGCGAGTTTGGTGCCAAAACACATCTGGTAACAAAACCTGACCTAAACTGATATGAAGCCACTTTATCCTCACACCTGGTTAGTGAGAACATTCATACATCTTACTGCAGAAATATTAGTGCATCCCATTAACAGATGCTGCCCAAGACCTCACAGGGGACATTTCAGAGCGTATGGCACCTTTCTGAATTCTACAACCCCCCCTTTGGCTTCAAGAGCTGCAGATATGGGCTTGAGGAATTGTAGCAACCTCTCTGTTCTTTCGCAACAGAACTGTTAGAACAGAAGCATCTCTAAGGATCTGAGGTTCCCTGGCCTTTTCTTTCCATCTGGAGAGTGAGAAGACAGCCAGGTGGATCAGTGAAGGTGACAAGAAAAGCAAGGATAGCAAATCTGCTGTGGAGAAAGAAAGGGTGACTCGGTGTGACTCTAAGTGGCTCGTGTAAACCGTCTGAGGCTGGACTATAGGAGGAAGCTCATTCCCGAGAGCCCCTGCTCCAATAGGCTTTCAAGATAACTGAAATGACACACACTAAATGTCTTGAGCTTTTAGGAAACAAAGTGCCACATAACCTTTTAAATATTTTTTAAAGTAAATATGTTCAATTGGAATAAATTAGTCAGCGAATGCCGTGTGTTCACTCAGTGCCGAGTTTCACACAGGCTTCCATGAAGTAGTCATGTGTAAGGTACAACCTGGACTCAAAGGGGTTTCCATTCTGATAGGATGGCCAAGTTTATGCCTAAGAAATAACTAGAAGACTGGATAATATGCACAATGCAGTGCTAAGATGTTGCAGACCTGCAAGAGAGAAGAGGCAAAGCTTGCTGGCCAGAACAGGTTGGAAAGGTGGTGTGGGAGGTGAAATTTAGTTCGGGTGAGAAACTAAAAGAAAACTAAACTAAACTAAAATAAACTAAAAGATGAGAAACCCTCTTAGGCAAATGTACCAGAAAAGAATGCACAGGTTTGTGGGAGAATAGTATGGAGAGAGACTTCACCAGAGTGGAGAAGGCTGGAGTCAGGGTATTGGGAGGAGACTGGGCAGGCCAGATCGGGTAAGGAGTGGGTAGAAAATGTGTGTTTCTTAGTCTGCGTATGTGGTCATAACAAAATACCGCAGACCAGGGGCGCCTGGGTGGCTTAGTCGGATAAGCGTCCGACTTTTCGCTTAGGTCATGATCTCGCGGTTCGTGGGTTCAAGCCCCGCATCGGGCTCTGTGCTGACTGCCAGCTCAGAGCCTGGAGCCTGTTTCAGTCTGTGACTCTCCCTCTCTCTCTGACCCTCCCCTGCTCACACTGTCTCTCTCTCTCTCTCTCTCCTAGAAATAAACATTAAAACAACAACAACAATAACAAAATACCGCAGACCAGATGCCTTATACAATAGAAATATATTTTCTCACAGCGGGAGGCTGGAAGTCCCAGGTCAAGGCTCCAGCAGGTTTGGTTTCCTTGGAGGCCTCTCTCCTTGGCTTACAGATGGCTACTTCTCTCTCTGTCCTCACATGACCTGTCTTCTGTCCACGTGCCGAGAAAGAGGGAAATCTCCAGTGTTTATTTTTTTGTAAGGACGCCAATCCTAAGGATTAGGGTTCTACCCAGTGATCTCATTTAATCTTAATTACCTCCTTAAAGGCTCTATCTCCAAATACAGTCTCTTTAGAGACTCCTGGGTGGCTCAGTTGGTTGAGCGTCCGACTTCGGCTCAGGTCACGATCTCATGGTTCATGGGTTTGAGCCCCGCGTTGGGCTCTGTGCTGACAGCTAGCTTGGAGCCTGGAGCCTGTTTGGGAATCTGTGTCTCCCTCTCTCTCTCTCTGACCCTCCCCTGCTCATGCTGTCTCTCTCTCAGAAATAAATAAAGTATTAAAAAATTTTTTTAAAAACCAAATACAGTCACTTTGGGAGTTAAGGTTTTAACATCTGAGTTTGGAGGTGGGGTGGGGAGACACAATTCAGCCCATAACAGTGTGCACGTGTCCCGAGAAAGCAGGGCGTGTCTGGGCAGTCTGGGAGGACAAGATGTCTACAATGAAACAGGCAGGGCAGGGCTGCACTCTGAGTGGACACAGACATGAACTGAGTGAATGGACGTGGAGGACATTAGAGGAATTAGAAGTCATAGGACCAGATATGCTTGGCCCATGGGCTCAACCCTCATAAGTTCAAGAGCAGAAACCAGACTGCATTCCCTAGAGAACTTCCTGGAAAGAATGTCTCCGTCATTTCCTGCATTTCTCTGTCCTCCCGCAGCACCTGTGGTCTGTTGCACCCTTACTTGTCTAGCTGCAGGAAAGTGTGACATCATTATAGAGCTGTTTTGTGCAGACAGCCTATTCACATCTGGATGGCTGATGCTGATAATTACTGCACTGGTTACTAAATCTGCTGGGTTTAGGTGAGGTGAGGCTCCACAGCTGGGGCTGCTGCTCACAGCTTCACAAGCAGAGAGAGGTGAGAACAAAAACCAAGAAAGGTGTGCTTAGGTGCTTGGGATTGAGTGAAACTGCTTAATTACCAGTCACTTGCTGTCTCCCTGAGTTGAAGTTTCTAGTTAAGGAACACTCACTGATCAGACAGAACATGACAACCTGCAACTTACCTCCACACTAAGAGGGTGGTGGGGGCCAAGATGCAGAAAGAGGTGTGGATTGGAGGGGCACCCATATGACTCAGGTGGCCTCCAAACAGCCTGATGGCATGATGTGGCAGCAGACTGGACTCCTTATGGAAAGAGCTCCGAATCAGGTGTGTCTTTGGGGCAGAGTTTCTGCTAAATGAAGGTTCTTAATCAGAATCTTGAAGATTCTCTCTTCAAAAGAGTTCTTTTGATCTCCCAAAGGGAAACGGCTATACACCACTGCCCTAGACCCCCAGAGAAACAGGTTGACATTGGGCAGAGCCCCAGGAAAGACTTGAGATCCCTAATGATCTTGACATGATACTCAGAGATGTATTTGCGCACGTGTGTTTGTAGATTTTTCTAGGTGGAGGATTCAACAGTTTTTGCCAGATTCTCAAAAGGGTCCACAACCCTCAAAAGACTAAGGACCTGAGGTAGTTTCAGGGCCCAACAGCTAGAAATATTGCCTATGCTTAGCTATTTCTTTCCAGAGGACAACCACAGAGACCTGAAAACAGGGCCCAAAGTAGCTTCTGGTAGTTCTGCCAAAACCTGGGATAAGTGGGACCAAGGGCTAGTTGGCAGGGGGGGACTCCATTAAAAAAACGCATTGGAGTCGTTTAAAGAGTCCATTGCCCAGAAACCTGAGTGATGGTCACAAAGCCCTCAAGAGATGGAAAAACAGCCCTAGCTCCCTCCTTTCTGATGGCCTACTCCCAGGTCTTTCCCTTCCAGTGCCCCCTGCCCCAGCTTTCAGAAACCCAAAGACTTTACTCATGGAATCTCAAAATTCATCCAGTAAATCCTTACTGATCACCTACTACGTGCCAGGTTCTATTCTAGGTGCAAAACAAAGGACTTGTCTTCAGAGCGTTATCGACCTAGGCCGGTTTCCTGCCCAACACACGGGTATTTTGGGCACTGCTGACCTAGCACGGTCTTCCCAAGCTTAGCCGGCATAGCCGCTGGTCCAGAGAGACTGAGACCATCTCGGCCACCGCAGCGGGCTGGGGGGCGAGGAGGGGGTCAGCAGTACCTGTGAGCAAAGCGGCGACAGAGACTGGAAGGACCAGAGCGGGTAGGCCTACTGGTGGACCCCAGGTTAAGCTCAGCCCGGGCGCTGCCGGGTTGGGGACACGGCGGAAGCACTGCCGGCGGCTCGCGGGGAATGGGGGAAAGGGACGCGGCCCGCCGCCTCCACCACTGCGGCCGCCGCGCTTGCTCTCCGAGCCGTGCACGCCCGCTCCCCGCCTCTGGGGCCGTTGCGAGGCTCAGCTCTCCATACTGAGCAGTCCCCGGGAGGCGCTCGGACACGTTCCCAGGCCGGATAAAGATCGGCTCAGCGCTCGCTGCGCAGCGCGAAATCTCGCCATCAGCGCGCCTCGCGCTGCCGCTCCGGCCCTGCCTGGCGACGCCAGATCGCTGTCTTGGGGGGCGGGAGGGGGGCGCGGAGGCAAAGCAGAGCCACTGCTCCCGCCGCCACCCTCGGCCTTGCGCGCTGGGGTGTTCGCCGGGCCCCGGGGCTCGCCTCCTTCCCCTCGCCCCTGGCCTTCCTTTTCGGCGCTTCCTCCCGAAGGACCTCGGCTTCCCGCCGGCCCGGGGCCCCCAGCCGGGCGCCCTCGCCGCCGCCACCCCCGCCCCCACCACGCCAGGCCCCGCTGCCTCCTGAAGGTTACGCGAAGCAGCCGCGGGGTGCGGGGAGCGCCCGCCCTCGCCGCCGCCTGCGCCGCCTGCGCCGCCGCCCACCCCAGCGCCCGCCGCGCCGTGCCGAGCCGGCCCGGCCCGGCTGCCGGCTGCTGCCACCGCAATCCCCGCTCCTAAATCAGCGCGGGGAGGCGTCCCCTCCCCCCACCGGCTGCCCGGGCTCCCGGCGCGGCGATTGGCGGTGCGGGCGCCCCCCGCCCCAGGCCCCCCCGCTCTAGCTGCGGCGCCATTGGCTGCGGGTCTCCGCCAGCCTTTACATAAGCCCCGGCGCGCTCGAGTGGAGTTGTATAAAGCGAGCGAGCGGTGGCGGGGCGGGAGGCTCGAGGCCAGCCCGGGACCGGGGCTGGGAGCTGGAAGGCGGCGGCGGCGGCGGTAGCGGCAGCGGCAGCCAGCGCCCGCGCTCGGACGCCCCCAGGCGGTGGGGCTGAGAGAGCCCGAAGATGGCTCCGAGCGCTGACCTCGGCGTGAGTACCGGCTCCTGTGCCCCCTACCCCCACTCCTTCAGGCGGAGAAAGTTTCTCCCGCCCTGCGCGCCCCTCCCGACTCGCCCGCAGGGGTGGCGGAGACGCCGCCGGGGAACCGGGAAGACGGACACCGCCACTGAAGGCAGCGGTGGCGGTTGGGTGTCCAACTTAAGGAGAGGCGCAGGACTCGGCCGGCGCGCCCAGCCTCCCCGGCGGGCTGGGGGCGAGGCGGACGCGGAGCTGGAGGTGGAAGAGAGAGGGGAGCGAGGGTGGGCGGAAGACAGCCCACTCCGCTGGCAGGGAAGGTGCTGGGGGCGCGCTGGAGGTCAGCCGTTTGGGGAGGGGGCAGTGGGGCTGCTAGGGGGGGGGGGCGGAGCAGGTGAGGAAGGATGTGCCGGGAGTATTTGGGAGTCACCCAGCCGGGCTCAGCTCCGGGCCGGGGAAGCTACTAGCCTCGACCAGTAGTAGTAGCTCACCTACTACGCTGCCAGGATGGGGAAGAGCCCCCGGGAGCTGGTGCTTCTTCCCCGGGGAAGCCGAGCTTCTAGGCACAGCGCTCGGTGGCCGAGAGCTCTGGGAGCCAGCCCCGCGAGCGGCGTAGCTGCCAGCAGCCTTTGCTGGACCGAGGTGTGGTCTCCTCGCTCGCAGCCTGTCTCAGGCAAATCAGCTTCAGGCATTCCAGGGGGAACCGGGGATGCTCCTCGGCCCGTGGGGGCACATGGAGGCTTTGATGGGGCAGCAGGCCAGACTTGGGGGCATGCCCAACAATGCAGCTCGCTTCTTCGCAGTACAGTAGTTGAGAGCCCTGGTTAGTCCCGTTTCTACAGAAACCAACTCAAGAGTCCAAAGTCATCCCAGCCTGGATGGGAACCCCCCAGAGTGGTCGGGAAATGCTCCTGGGGTTGGAGGGGGGTGGGAGTACTCCCCTTCCTCGGGGAATGACTAATGAATATTGCTGCCGGCGGTTGTGGAGTGTGCACCTAGTGTGGCTTCTGTGCGTCCCAGGAGGTGCTTCTACTCTCCAGGCAGGACACGTTCTTGAGTCACACTTGAGATGCCTTCTGGGATGGGTGCAGGACTTCCCAAGTGAAGCCAGGTGGAAAAAAAGGGAAAAGGTTCCAAGAATAGGGGACAGCTCTGTAATGCTGCCTTGAATTAGGGGAGAACTCAGGTGGGAAAACAAACGCTACTGATGGGAGATTTTTTACCCCGATGCCTTGGGGTTGGACATACCCAAGACTGAAGCAGAGTGAATTCACAGTCATGCTGTACCTCACTCTGGCCATGAGGATGGGGAGATGGAGGATGGAAATGTGTGAACATGGTGGTTCTTCCAATATAGCTTTTGAGGAAGCATTTTCTCTCTCTCTGGCTTAAGAACTTCATTCTGGTAGCAGGTCCCAAAGTCGATTTAAGAAGCAATGAAGGGGGTTGAGGGTCTTGATGCTGGCACAGTGGCCCACAATTAGAATATTCTGGTTTCCCATTGGCACTTAGGGACTGTGGAGAAGGTCAAAGGCATGCTCCTCAGTTGGGGTATATCCTTCATCTGTATACCATTCCTGAACATGGGTGGGTCTTTTAAACTCCTAGAGTAGCTTCAACCTGGAGATCTTTTATGGGGGTTATCAATCCATAACCCCAAACCCAGCTCCATCCTCTGCCTGCAGTCAACATTTTTTCTGCTGCATTTCCCAACACCTTCTCTCCACTGGCTATTTGTGGAGTGAAATACCTGCCTGTTGCCCTTTCTTCCCTTCTCTCCATCTGGGTTGCACCTGGTGTTCTGAAGCCTGATGTTTATTACCTGGCATCTTGATGTTTGCTTAAGACATCCTATTGCTGCACAGGTTGCCTGTGAATGTGTGGACCAATAGTCTGTGTAATTCTAGGGAGTGAAACATACGCTGTTATGGAGACAGGCCTAGAGACCACAAAGGCAGTCCTATTCAAGGGCTTTGTGACAGTCTCCTGTTAATCTTCCTTGCTTCCTGCTGAAGTGATCAGAGGTTAAAGGTGAAGCAGGCTCCTTGATGTCCGGTAGGGGGCGCCAAAGTCACCCAGGTCAAGACTACTGACTTTCCCACTTCATGCTGTTCCCTGACCACAGGCAAGCACAGACCACAGACCCCAAACCTCACCTTCATTATTGAAGCCCTTCTACCATAGATTTCCTGGACATCATGTGGTCCTGTGATCTCAGGTGCAACGGGGGCAGATGCACGTACAGCATTCCAAGGACAGAGAGCTAGTACTCAGCCCCACCTGCTCTCTGAGATTATTCCTTTGTGCTTGGCTCTGGTGTGTCCTTTGAACTTGTTAGGAGCTCATGGAGTCCAAGAACATTAGGGCTAGAAGGGAGGATCCTTGAAGAGCATCCAGTTCAACCTCATCCCATCCCCAACACTCACATGCATACTTAATTTACAGGTGAGAAAGCTGAAGACCAGTGAAGGCAAGTGTCTGGTCCAAGGTCACAATGGCTCTTTGATGGAAGTCATTGGATGAGGTCTCAGGATTTCCAGTTCTCTGATCAGAGCTCTTTCCACTCTGACCTGCTTCCTCTTTACTATGGAGATGGACGCATGTTCTTGGCACACTAGGTACTCCTAGCTGCTGACATTGGTCAATTAATAAGTTTAGTAAATTTGGGGATGTTTCCTTCAAATCAATTATTCAGAGTGAGGAGCAGATAAAGTTCTTGTAATGTACATATACAGGTAATAGAAATTCCTAATTGTTTTTTCCCTTTCATCCACTATCTTATCTCATTATTCCAAGCAGTCTTTTAGCTAGAGACAAAGCAACTCCAGTTCTCTATCCATGCATGTCGGAATCGGAAGTGCCCAGTCCTTCACTGTGCCTTGGAACCCAAGCCAAAGCTCTTCCTTTCTTTCACAAAGGCATGCTGGAGTAGGGTTGCCCTGTCCTGCATCATACCACTGCCTGTGACACCTCCATTACTCAGATACTGGGTGGAGTGGAGAGTTACCAACCGTTATTTGCCCATTTCCCCATCTTTGCTGCTCCCAGCTCAAGGTCAGAGTGCTAGGATATTCTATTTTTGCAAATCCTCATGTTAGGGCTTCTTTGGTGACCTGGAAGATGCTACCATTTCCACTGCTCTTTTTCTGTTCTGTGAGTCTGACTGCCGACATCTGAGCTGGGCCCTGGGAAGGAGGTTTGCTGAGTGGCCTGTGGGCCGCCCCTCGGTTTCTTCTCTCCATCCTGTTTCTTTGCACACTGTATAGAGCTCCTCTGGGTTCTGCTCGAGCCTCGGCAGACTTGGTGGCTAGACCCTCAGGAGGAGCTAGTACTGCCAAGCCTCAGAATTCCGAGAGCCAGATCCTCTTCTGTCCCTAAAGCTCACCCAAGGGATGCTTGTTGCCAGGGAAGATGCTTGAGTTTCCTCTTCTCCTTCAGGCTCACAGGCAAGTCGGGTCTTAGTCTTCAGGGGGAGGAGGGAGGTAGTAGGATTACGTGGACCACCAGACAGCAAGAGCCCCTCCTTTAAGAAGTGGAGTTCTGAGAGGCTGTGCTTGAGATCCACGCCAGCTCCCGGCTCTAGCTGAAGACATGTGCCTGCATTCCCAAGGCTTGGTCTAGTCTGGATAAGGAGAGGAATATAATTATGTAAAACATGGCTATAGCATAGGATCTCTGCATTTTGGTTGAATGGGGGAGAGGACATAGAGTTTGAGAAGTGGCATTAGACCCTGAGAAGTCAAGAAGCCACTCCTTTTGTGAGCCCCACTGGATGGCTGACACTTACCTTACTGTCATTGGGAAGGCAGCCCGTATAGTAGAAAGGACACAGGCTTAGGATCTGGCCCCCTCACTGACTGGCTTAGAGACTTTGGACAAACTGTTTAACCTCTGCGTGCCTCAGTTTCCTCCTCTGCAAAAAGGTGAAGAGGGCACCCTGTGATGAGGGTAGGCTAGCGAAGATCAAGGAAGATAGTCTCTAACATGCCTCTGCCCTTGGTAAGACATAAAAAAGGTATTCAGCTAGAAGGGGATATTGTTGTGGGATCACCAGGAACCACACTGAGCCTTCTGTTTCCAGGCAAGCAAGACTTGAGTGTCCAGGTTTGCATATCGGCCCTCTGCTCACTTCAACATCTGGGCTCATAGACAAGGTCTTCCTGGCAGGGCTCCCTCCTTGCCTTCTTCCTTTGCCCACCTTGGGGGTTTCATTTGGGAGTTCTGCCATACTTGGGGAAAAGAAATTTTACAGGTCCCAGGATAATTCTGAACGTGATGAAGGGCCCTGAGCTATTGATTCCTAAGGAAGGATCTTTGTGCTGGGAGAAGCCTTCCCGGAGCCCAGTGATTTAAGAGTGCTGACAAATCTGTGCTCACCGAGCCTCCTGCAGGCTGCAGATACAGGCTTCCAGGCCAGCTGGGGCTCTGCGAAGGATTTCGGGGAAGCCTGGCTGGTTGCTTGGGGGACATAAACCTGTGAACTCTCCTCAGGAAAAAGTATGACATCAATTGGTTTATTATCACACTCAACACACCCTGGACCACTTAGGGCATTTAAGAAATGAGAAGCAGCAAAAGACTTGGAGGCTGTATTTGAAAAACACACAGAAAGGCCTGAAGGGTTTGGGGACTTTTGCCACTGAACCACTCATGATCTTGACCTTATTGAAGTTCTTTGGCAGTGACTAGGGGGCCTACTTTGCCTCTCAGACGTTTGACAGTGTCTGGAGACATTGGGCTAGGGAGTGCTACTAGCATCCAGTGGGTAGAGGCCAGGGATGAGGCTAAACATCCTACAGTACATTGGACAACCCCCCAACAAAAAAATTGTCTGGCCTAAATGTAGTGCCAGGCTGAGAAACTGGGACTGGGGCGGTGCCACGCAGAATCGTAGCATGCTGTTAATGGGAGGGATTGCAGAGGTGTTCTCATCCTGCTCTCCCATTTCATAGCTGAGGGCACTGAGATCCAGAGAGGTGGAAAGACTAGCAAGGGTCCTATAGCAAGTGAGCGGC